ATTTGTTTATTTAAGTTTTTGTACTCAATATTCAATTGTATAAAAAAATCATTGATAAGTAATAAATTAGTTTATTCGTTTTCACCCTTAAAAATGTTTAAAAATTGTCAATAATTTTAGTTTTAATTAAAAGAACTTTGAAAAATATGTAAACAAATAAAATATTAAAAAAATGAAAAATCTTTAATTAAAAATAACTTGTATTTATATGTTGGAATAAGGTTGTGGTCGTTTCTAGCCGTTGAGGATGATATCTAGCCATTTGGGGATGTTTTATCTGCAAAATAAAGTTGCCAGTACATTGAGTATCGGTACTCCTTTTATGGGTATCGGCACTTCCTTTATTATTTTTAAATAAAACTAGCTGTTACTAGCTGTTGGGTCTGACTGTATTAATATTGTGACCATGGTATCGATACTACTATGTAAAGAAGTATCGGTATCCCTTTGGGTATCGTACCTATTTTGCATTATATAATTTGAGCAAGCTGATAGTATCGATACTACCTAGATAGTATCGATACTTCTCTTACTTAGGGTATCGGTACCACATGAACAATATCGACACTGTTCATATAGTATCGATACTATAAGAACAATATTAGTACTTCATACGTGAAAATTAGTTTTGTGCTCAAATTCACTTTAAATGGACTTTGAATTATTTTTGGAAACTTTTGATGACTTTGAACAATTTCAATTAAGTCCAAAAACATTTTGCCCTAATTTGTTATATCAAAATATTACAAACTATGGTTCAACATAATACAAGTTAAAAAAACATAGTTACAATACAAAAAAAAACTAATTGCAGTACATAATATTTTGTAACGCCTATTTTAGCGTCCAACTCGATATTTTTGGAAGATGTGGACAATGTTTTATGTTATAACATTCACCTCTGTAATGGCCACAACGTTTGGGTAGATCTGGCTCTCTTTGCGGATCATTCATATCGGTATGAATTCGGCTAGATCTAGGTCGACCCCGTAACTTCCTACGCAATTATATGACTGATCCCAATCACCATACAACAAGGTCTTTGCTTTCTGTTTAGCCATCCATGCCTTGTAATAAGTCGAAATATAACCAAATGTATTCCGAATAGATGCCACTAATACAGAAACGGGCACTCTTTGATTTTTCCACCAACATTTTCACATAAGAGCATATGACATCTGAATCTAAATATTTCTGGTCTTGTGTCAAGGACGTCACTGTACATGTGTGCTGTGCATTGAACCTTGTGACTTCCCACAACATTTTCTGTTGTAGGTATGATACTCGTATCCTCCATTTACAACCAACATCATGATGTATACACCGTACGAAATAAGTCTTTTGATCCGACTCTGCGACATATAATTGAAGATGAGCTTTGATGCAGTACTCCTTGATTTCTAGTTGTGCCTCTTTTTTTGTTTAAAACTGAGACCCAATGGCCAACTCAGATGACCGCTCATCTGAAGAACCCCAGTGGGCAGCACATAACTCTGACATATCATATATTTCAGGATTCCGCATAGCATCGTAGTTAATGTCATGCATTACAAGTGCATGATGATACTGAGGCAAATCATGGTGAGGCATTTTAGGTTGAGAGTATGTTTTTGCCCAAACATTTGGAGCATTCTGCAATCCTTGACATCTTGAAAGAGTTGCCACCCATGCATAAGCCTCAACATCCACACCTTGTCCCTTTGAAGCAGCCTCAAAAACATCAAACTCATCAACTAATGGTGTGTCGTCATCATCTACCAATGGAACAATATCTTCATCATCTTGGCTAAATTCAACAAGACTTTTTCTGAACCATCCAACAAGGTTTTCATCACCATCATTTGCATGTGGTTCAGAGGGGCATATTTCTTCTGTTCTTCGAGCTGGTACTGATGAGGTCAGAATATCACTTGTATTTGTGGTTTCGACGTACATCTCCACCATATCATTATTTGATGATTAATGAAGTCCTACCGTAACAGCACATCATCATCATCATCAAGCTGCACTTTTCCATATGTCATTGGATTTGAGGAGATCAGGTGCCGATAACTTAAACATGAAACATAAGCCCTAAGTTTTCTCTTAATTTTTTGCTTCATTTGGCGATAAGATACATCTACAGGGAATATCATATTGATGGGCCTGTGTGACTTAAACATAACACCAACATCAGTTTTTATAATTTCTCCATTATAATGGAAAATGTGAAGAATTTGTTGTTCATTGTTTGAAATGTATTTAGATAGAAGAAATGAGTTTCATATGTAAGAGATTGAAGATGAAAGGAGTGTGTTGTGTGTGTAAGAGATGAAAGGAGTGTGTTATGTATGTAAATTTTTTAGCCGTAGGAACTCGTCAAATCGACGTGACCAGTTCCATTGAATTTTAAAATAAAATTGGACCGTTCAACAACGGTTAATCCAACGGTCAACAAATTCAAAATTATACCCGTTGAAATTTGTCACGCCGCATGATGAGTTCCTTTAGCATTAAAATAATATATTTTTTCAATGCTTTTAAATTTTTTTAAAAAAATATTTTTTATTGAGACTCATCAGGCCAGCATGACGAGTCCCTTAAGATATATTAAATATATTCGGGCAATGGAACCCACATAACACGACACATTAAAAAAACATATCACATGAATTCATCACATCAACATGACGAGTTTTATAAACACTGTAGCATTTACCGTAAATACAGATATAAATTTCCTGTTGCCCGGGCTAAATAATCCAACCCGACTGGATTATTTGCCCCAATTCCGCCGGCAACATGCTCAAAGAAAAACCGGAAATAATGGTAAGTGAAACTTGCACATATACTACCAAGATCAATGGAGTGGCCAATCTCGAGTCTATCATACAGAAATGCGCGTCCTTCTCCCACATAAAGCAATTTCAAGCTTACGTCTTTACCACCGGTGCCTTCAAATTCAGCCGCGCTCGCTCCAAACTGCTCGAACTTTGTGCCATCGCCCCCTTTGAGTATCTCTCCTTCGCCATCTCTGTTTTCCGTCGAATCCCAACGCCTTTTACCAATGACTTCAATGCCATTATCCGTGGCCTCATCCAAAGCCCTCAACCCTCCACCGCTTTCGCGTGGTACAGAGCCATGCAACGTGGGTCTTTCAGAGTGGATGCTCTCACTTGCTCTTTCACTCTCAAAGCTTGCGCGCGTGTCTTGGCTGCTACGGAGTCTCTTCAGCTTCATGCCAACATAATACGCTTTGGGTTCATGGCGGACGCTTTGTTAGGAACTACTTTGCTCGATGTGCTCGCCAAAGTTGGTAGTCTTCGTTGTGCTAGATTAGTGTTTGATGAAATGCGGCTTAGAGATATTGCCTCGTGGAATTCCTTGATTTTCGGGTTAGCTCAAGGGAGCCAAGCGAGTGAAGCGTTAGATTTGTTTAAGAGAATGCAAGTTGAAGGGTTAAAGCCGAATGAGGTGACGGTTATTGGTGTTCTTTCAGCGTGTTCGCATATGGGAGACTTTAAAGAAGGTGAAAAGTTTGTAATGCACTTATTGATATGTATGCAAATTGTGGATTTTTGGATAAGGCGTGTGGTGTGTTTGACAACATGGGTTGTAGGAAGTGTCTTGTTACATGGAATACCATGATCATGGCCTTTGCAAGGGATGGAGACGGACATAAAACGCTTAAACTTTTCGAGCAAATGGAGAAAGATGGGGTGCAGTCTGATGCAGTAACATATCTCGCTGTGTTGTGTGCTTGTAATCATGCTGGCCTGGTGGAGGATGGTCTGAGATTGTTTAATACGATGGGGAAGCATGGAGTGAAGCCTAATTTGAAGCATTATGGGAGTCTAGTTGATTTGTTAGGTCGTGCTGGGAGGCTTAAAGATGCTTACAATCTTATCAATTCTATGTCAATGATGCCCGACGTAGTTCTTTGGCAGAGTTTGCTTGGAGCTTGCCGAATTTACAAGGATGTGGAGATGGCAGAGATTGCTTCGAGGAATCTAGTATATATGGGGGTCCAATTATTGTGGGGATTTCGTGTTGTTATCAAACGTATATGCTGCGCACGAGAGATGGAATGATGTTGGTGGGGTGAGGGATGCCATGAAAAACAGGGATGTTAAGAAGGTGCCCGGTTTTAGCTACATGGAGGTGGATGGCTAGATGCACAAGTTTTTCACCGGTGATAAGAGCAATGCCAGATGGAAAGAGATATATTCGAAATTGGATGAGATCAGATTCAAGATTAAAGAGTTAGGCTATGTTGCCGAGACTAGTTTTGTTCTTCATGACATAGGGGAGGAGGAGGAGGAGGAGAACCAACTGTGTTATCGTAGTGAGAAGCTGGCAGTGGCCTCTGGCTTGATTAGTACAAGTGAAAGAACCCCAATTCTTGTGATTAAGAATCTTAGAATATGTGGAGATTATCATGAGGTAATTAAGCTTGTATCAAATATATATGAACGGCAGATTATCGTAAGGGATCGAGTTCGGTTTCGCAAGTTCAAAGATGGCTTTTGTTCTTGTAGTGATTACCGGTAAGTGTAACAACACTCCCAAAATGTCAATTAATCATTTAACAGACTCTTTCTTTCTACAATCTTTCTCCCCTTGTGTATTAAGGAATACTCGTGTTTGGTTTGGCCCATGCAAAAGTAAATATCAAATAACACATTAACAAACAACAAGAAGCATAATAGCAACCTGAAATCAATACTTTTCACATATAAATTATCTTATACACCGATTCTAGTCGTATTGAAGAGCAACACATCAGCTAGTCTCATACAAATTACAAAATATGAAGATTTAAATCCCGGTTAACATAAAGCAAATACTAGCTGGTAAAACAATTGCAGCAATGAACATAGTCAAGGGATTCCTAGAACTTAAAGCCTCAAACAAAAGAAATTCAACTTCTCAATAATGGGCCAACCTCATCAAGAGAACAGTTCAAGTATAAAGCAAAAGCCTCTGGTACTATGCAAGAGATATCAACAGAATGCGACTAGTCTTTCTTTAGCCTAACCTCGAAACCCCTTCCAGTCGCTTTGAAAGAACGCAAGGCATATGAGTTCCTAGTAGCCTATCTCATATGGGAAAGAACGGCTGAGAGTAGTTGTACTTTGTGCCTTGGAGTTGATGGATGTCGTGGTAAGCACAGTTATTCTGGAAAAATATATGGAATATACTGCCAGGCAACCATAGCCCACAGTGATCATCCACTGTTTTAATCACAGCAAAGCAGAAGAAAATTACAGCTGTGCGCGCTGTCATTCCAGAGACGAGGAAAGAGATGGCCCAGTCAAAAGTATCGAGCAAGAGACCCTCAAGTGGGTGATTGTAAAGGGCCACAATTGCATAGGGAACAACCAGTCCATGATGTTGGGAGTGGACATGACGGTACAAAAATTTGTTTTGATGCATGAAACGGTGAACAAAGTACCGACATGTATCCATGACAAGCATTGCAACGATAAATTGTACAATTTGAACAGGAATAGAAGGCTGGATCATGGTTCCAGATGCATCTGCCGTCGATGTTAACTACAGCAAGAACAGAGAATATTAATTAAATACTTGGTGTATAGAAGTTCTAGATCAGAAGGTAAAATATGAGCCAGCAGACAGTTCTTCAACCTCACGCAGACAGTAATAAATGCTAAATCTACAAATCAACCAAGTGTTCAACTAAAATTATTTTCTTTTTGCAGATTATAGGCAAGAAAATGATTCCAATAAAAAAACATTTTACAGGCAAGGAAGAAGTTAAATGCAGAAAAACATGTATGAAGCCTGCTAAGCATCCAACCTAAAACCAATTGCTGATAGATTATGGAGCCAACTTTAATACAGAACCACAGGGAACCCGGTACTTAATAGATATAGGACAACATCACTTAACATTTCCCTTACATGTAGTTCAGAAAAGGCCTACACATGGACATTAAGGTTGTCAATCTCGCATGAATCTAGACCAGAACAACAGAATAGAATTTGAACTCTAATATCATGTTATGTATCCAACTTAAAACCAATTGGTAATAGGTAGAGAGGATAAACTAGGATATTAGACAACAAGAAACTCAATACTTGATAGACTTGGGATGAAAGCATTTAACAATGACATTATAGTCCAACAAGCTAATTAACAGGATTCCCATCTCAACAACAAATTAGCACAAGTTAGAATTTGGTTCCCAAAGAACAAGGCCATTTAGAGAGATTTTAAGGCTAACCCATATTTCAAAGAAAATTAAAGCCCAATGTGGCGATGCGATGATTAAGAAACTGAGTTCTGAAATAACAGGGATTGTACAAAAGATGGAGAACAATAAGAATATAAGCCAAGTTTTTCATTTAACCTCAATAATCTTGAAAATTCTGAGTCCATTTGGTACCTTGTGCAGTCCAAACCAGTTTATAGGACATAATAATACATAAAGGACAAACTTCATTAAACAAAAGAATCCAAACACATGCCACCTATAAGACATTTCAGTTGCTTAGAGAAACATAAGGTCTTCTGGTTTTACTTATATGATCAGTGCCCCTATACAGACACTGAGTACATCAAAATTTGACTATTTCACCTTGGCATACTTGGCTGACCGGAGAAGACACCAAACTGGCTGGATGTAGAAAAACAAAAGATGATTTCAGCTTGTACGTAATAACTCTTGAACATGACAAATGGTTTTTTAATTTTTTCTTTCCATAACCAAACTTCCAGACTTCCAGATATGGCAAGTATAAATGAGGACAAAAAAAGGTTTTTTTATTTTTCTTTCCATAACCAGACTTCCAGATCACTAATGAGAGCATTAAAAATGGATGACCGATTATTTGATGGAGCTGTAAGCCATGTGAGATTCTTCATGATGGTATGATGGTTCAGTTAAGTTGATTTACAAGCAAGACCTAGTGCGAGAGGAACTTGTCATGTTCTTGGCTATTGTAATAAGAATAGTATGAACTCTATTGCATTTTAAAACTCAAAGGAAATGGCAGCAACAGTATGAGGAGAAAAATATATGCAACTTAGAGGACATCTTATTGTCATGACCTGTACAAGCCATGAATCAAATTTGGGGAAATGGCATCAAGTCATCAACATACACAGATTTTTACCTCACACTTAAACTTCAAATAAAAATATACAATAACATGGCATGACGAGTCATCATGCACCACAAAAAGCTTTATGCCATCATAAAGTAATTGTGGGCAAGAAGAGGTTGGTGATGTAGAGCTAAAAATAAGATTACAAGCTAAATACCCCAAAAAAGGAATCACTGTTCGTCTTTACCGCTACCCTTTAGAAGAAGGGGAAAAAATCACAGCAATGCGAACAAAAGCGTCTTTCTCACAAAAATGAAACTTGAACTTTAAATATTTCTCTTATTCATCCAACCTGTTGCAAATGCAATTTTGCTTGCTCAGAAAATAAAAGACCTATAGTCCTTGTACGTGGTTCATTACAATGTTATATAATCCCTATGTAAAACCTAACTAATGTAGATCACATAAATATACCTACAAAAATTAATTGAGGAAATACGGTTAAGGCAGAGACAATTGGCATTAGCATCTTTTTTGCCCCTTTGAATGGTTGTAACCAAAGGTAGTTAAGACTATGCAGTATATCTAGGTTATTAAGTATTATTTAGGTTTAAAAAGTAAGGTCGAACTCTAAGCAAAATAAGCACTGCATGTGCAGGTTCCATTCCATCAAAACCCTACATTTTTAGGTCTTTCTCTGATACCTTGAGACCAATGTACCATTCATTCCCTAGCGCTGATAAAATTTCTAGGTCTTTATCCTATCCAATTTTGCCTTGTTGTATCAATTATCCCTAGCCACAATTGATCATGCCTCCAATATTTTGAACAATGAAGCAACTACAGAATATGATTGCGAACTTAAAACCAAATCCAAATCTACTCTATCCTGGTCAATTACATAAGGTAGGAGGGGGGAGCCGAATAAACTGGTTGCATAAACTATTGGAACATCCGAACATTTCAAACCTACTTGCAGGCACTGCTATTTTCACGCAACTCACATTCATTTCAAAATTCCAGACTGAACTACACTAAGTATCTATGCTTGATCCCATTTGGAATCACAAACACTAATTTCCAAAATTAGTGAAATTCGCCTTTTTATTCTTAGCCTGTTATGTAGGTAAACTGTATAGATATGATAACCCATTTACTCAACAAGGAGCTTGCTTTGACTTTTTCATTGTGGGCATTTGCAAAGAATTTGATTTGACAACTACCAAGTTGTGATACTTACATGTAATATGATACTTTAGAATTTTAGGCTTATGGTTTTACTGACAACAATTTCCAACACATTTCTAAACAAATAGATAAAGGAGCTCCTACGACATTGACATCAAAGCAACATAAGTCCAAGCTCAGAATTTACTGTAAAAGAAACCAAAGCACCCCATCTAAAAGCCGGAAATTACATCGAAGAATAAAGTTTGTCAAGGAATATTAAAATAACATGATTTGGCAACTAACCAGAAAGAGCAATTTAGCAACGGTTGCTTGAACAAGCTGTTGAAACAACACGCCCTTGACAACTGAAACGAGAGGTACGGAATTCTTCTCTTCCTCCTCTTTTCTAGTATGTAAACGGTACTTATCCAAAGGAGGTAAGAGTTGATAAAACCCAGCATACAACCAATATACTACAATTGGGACAATCGTCCCCCATTGCTTCATCACTCACATATCCTTCCCAAAACACCATTCTCCTCTAAGCCAAACAAATTCTGAAGCTTCTATTTTCTCTCTCTTTAGACCAATACCCACTTCCACTTTTACAAATTTGAAGCTGCATTCACAGTTTCAACCCTGAAATAAACACCAAAAGAGTTATAAAAACAAGGGTTCCTTGACAAAGTGACACAAGCAGTTCGGTACTAAACACGTTAAGTTTTTAACGATGGATGCTAAAATGAAACAAAAATTAAACGTTAAGTATGATTTTGAAAAAATTGAAAGTTTAGGTACTAAAACAAATCAAAACTGATAATTTAAGTACTAAATGTGTAGCTTACCCTAAATATTAAATGTAATAAATAAATTTTTTTATTATTAAAATTGATTTCTTTAAAATATTATAATAATTTAATCAATATTATTTATGATAAAAATATATTATTAAATTATTTCTGTTTCTCTCAAAGTTTCAAATTAAACGTATAAAAAATAAATAGAGGTTCTCACAATATTCAGTTAAGAAAAATATTTATTTATATCGTTATAATTTAATAATTAATAAAAAAAAAAGATAACGTGATACATTCATATAAAAACTGAAAATCTGAAGTAAATTAGGAAACATACTTATTTACATCAATGTAAGTCGGTGCTTCATTGTATATAAAAAAAATAAGTTAGTGCTTCATACAACAAAAAGAATCATATGTTACATTCACCTAAAATATGATGATCTAAAGCAAATTATGGAAGATCTAAAAAAATAAGATTTATGTGTTTGCGTTAGAATTATGGGAAGAAAATGAAAAGCTAAAAAATGCATAGAATAGATGATGAAATGAAGATATTTGAAGATATTATGGTTAGAGCAAGAAAAAAGAAAAGAAACTCAACGAACATACATAAGATGAAAAAAAAACATATACTCACTTAAGTTATCGTCATTGTTGAGGGAGAATGAGAGTGTTTTGTTTGTTTATGCTTTAAAGTGAACTATATTTTGATATAACAATTAAGGCAAAATGTTTATGGACTTGAATTGAATTTATTCAGAGTTTTCAAAGTTTTCAAAAATAATTCAAAGTCCTTTTAACTTGGAATTGAGCACAAAATAATTATCGTTCTGTTTGTCCAGAAAATTATTGTGCCATATAAATCCTTGTGACAAATTTCTCAATCTTTTACTCTCATTACTCTCTAAACTATTTATTGCTAATTTACCCCCTTGCAACTCTTTTGGTTGTAGATTGAGCTTCTACAAATCCTAACAATTAGTATCAGAGCCTAACTCGTTAAAAGGTTTAATCACCTTGAGACGTTCCTAGAAGAAGCTCTACCAATTCACGATGCAACCGACAAAGATATGGCTTCAACCTCCGGTGCCTATTTCATTGAAGATTCACAACCAGTCAACAAGCCACCCTACTTCAATGGAGAAAACTATGCCTATTGGAGGAATAGGATGATGCTCTTCATTCAAGCCAACGATCTAGGAGCTTGGAACTCAATCATTAAAGGATACAGGCTATGCACATCGCCTATTTCATTGAGATTCACAACCAGTCAACAAGCCACCTACTTCAATGGGAAAACTATGCCTATTGGAGGAATAGGATGATGCTCTTCATTCAAGCCAACGATCTAGGAGCTTGGAACTCAATCATTAAAGGATACACCATTCCAATATGTGAGATGGACGATTGGAGTGATGGAGAGAAAAAGAAGTTCCAAATTAATGCTAAGGCTATGCACACCTTTTGTGCAGGCCCAGATGAATATGGAAGAGTCTCCTCTTGTTCCAATGCCAATGAGATATAGGATAAGCTCCAAGCCATTCTTGAAGGAACCGATGAAGTGAGGGAAACCAAGATAAGTCTTCTCAACCATAGCTAAAAAAATTTCAAGATGAAACCTGATGAAGGCACCAAAGCTATGACGGATAGATTTTCCGTGATTGTCAACGGTCTCAAGGGATTTAGAGAAGTAATCCCCAATGAGAAGCTTGTGAGAAAGATGATCTAATCTCTTCCAAAGTCTTGGCAATCGAAGAAGACGACGATTATCGAAGCTAAAGACCTAAAGTCTTTCACTCTCGACGATTTGGTTCTCTTCTCACTCATGAGTTGATGGTGAAGGAAGAGAAAGATGATGAAGAAAAGAAGGACAAGAAGAAGAAAGAAAAGAAGAATGAGGTAGGCGTTTCCTTCAAATTCACTAATGAGAGTTATCAAGATTCAAATGAAGAGGTGAATGAAGATGATGATGAAGAAGAAGGGATGACCAAGCTCTTCAAAATGTTCAAGAGATTCATGTCTTCGAAGGAAGCGAAGAATGAATCGAGCAAGAAGAAGAGTCCCCCGGTGTGCTTCAATTGTCAAAGAACGGGGCATGTCAAGTATGAATGTCTCCTCCTAAAGAAGAAGGGATCATCCAAGAAAAAGGCATATGTGGCAGCTTGGAGTGTTGAAGATGATTCCAATGATGAAGATGAAGTAACTAACCTATGCCTCATGGCCCTCGAAGAAAATTCAATGGTATATTCTAACTCAAATTATTTAAATTCATATTATTTTGATGAGTTACAAGATGCTTATAATGAGTTGTATTTGGAATTTGAGACCATGAATTCCAAATAAAAGAAATTTATTTCAAAACTTAAAGTTGAAAATGATTTGGTTTTGAAAGCAAAAGTTGATTTTGAGAATAAAAATGAAACTTTGGAAAAAGATTTAGAGCTTTCAAAAGTCAAAATCAATGAGAGCTTAACAAAAAAAAGTTTAAAAAACTTATTAGTTTGAAAATGGCAAAATGCTCACATTGCCATTTTTAGGGTCATTTGGAACATACTTGTCCCATAAAGAAACAAAAATCTTTTAAAATTAGACAAGTATGAGTTCCTAAGGGAACAAGGGGCATTGAAACTAACGCCCAAGGATCCAAAGCAATTTAGATACCAAAATCCATATAAACATCTCTTGTAGGTGTGTGGGAGCAATGGTGATGAAAATGAAGAAATCAAGATGCTCTTGCCATACTTGAAAATGAATGGGTAACCTCTAAGCCTAATGCTTTTATTTTGGTTATTTGGTTGCTCATTTAAGTTTATGTATGCATGAGTTTTAATTTTAAATGATTATGCATTGTTTTAATCTCATGTATGTTAAAAAATGCTTTATGATTAACATTTTAAAGTATTAATGATTTTTCATAATTTTTTGTTTATCATAATGAATTTTGGTCAAAATTGATTTTCAATGCAAATGATATCTCTCTAACAATTGATATCAACTTTTCAAATGCTTTGATTTTACAAATTTTAAATTTTTGACCTAAATTTAAATGTTTATGCATGTGTTTTTAAATGCAAAAGATATCTCTCTAACCATTAATATCAAATTTTTCAAAATGCATAACATTTTTGAAAATTTTATGTACATGTACTTAATTTCAATAATTAGTATTACATAAATTATTTTTGACTTGGATATATTGAATTGCATGTGTTACTAACATGTTTGTTACTCTTTGTTGAAATTCAATATTGTTTAAGTGCCAAGCTTTTAAAGTTAATTTTTGTTTGGAATGCTCTTGTTGAGGGGGAGCTTTGATTTTTCAAATAATTTTACTTCAAAATTTACAACTTACTCTCCATTGTTATTTTTGAACTATAAAGTTGAATTATTTTTGACATAAGAAAAAGGGGGATAAGTATGGTTTGAAAAATTTAAATTTCTTAATGAAAAAGGGTGAGCTGAACATTTTCATATATTTTCCAACAATTGGTATATTTTTTATTAACTATTTTATTAAGGGGGAGTTTTTCCAAAAACAGTTTTTCAAATGTTTTGTTATATAAAAAAGGGGAGATTGTTGAACTATATTTTGATATAAAAATTAAGGTAAAATATTTTTGGACTTGAATTTAATTTATTCAGAGTTTTCAAAATTTTCAAAACTAATTCAAAGTCCTTTAACTTGGAATTGAGCACAAAATAATTTTCTGGACAAGCAGTACCAATACTGTTCTTACAGTATTAATACCTCATGAACAAGTATCGATATTGTTCATATGGTTAATTTTTGTTTGGAATGCTCTTGTTGAGGGGGAGCTTTGATTTTTCAAATAATTTTACTTCAAAATTTACAACTTACTCTCCATTGTTATTTTTGAACTATAAAGTTGAATTATTTTTGACATAACAAAAAGGGGGAGAAGTATGATTTGAAAATTTTAAATTTCTTAATGAAAAATGGTGAGCTGAACATTTTCATATATTTTCCAACAATTGGTATATTTTTCATTAAATATTTTATTAAGAGGGAGTTTTTCCAAAAATAGTTTTTCAAATGTTTTGTTATATAAAAAAGGGGAGATTGTTGAACTATATTTTGATATAAAAATTAAGGTAAAATATTTTTTATTCTCTTGTCTTCATTTGTTTCTTATTCTCTTGTATTTTAAGCCAAACAAGCCAAAGGCTCCACCTTTCTTCATCACCTTCATCCATCCGAAAATTATAAGGTAAGATTCATAACCTACAGTTCATAAGCTCCATGAAAAGCTCACAATCTCCTCAAATGGTGATTTTGAGATTAGTGAAGGTTTTAGGGAGGATTTAAGCTCCAAGAGCTCACTCCAATGATTTCTATCCGAATTTTATGTTGTTTAGTTGTTTTCTAACCTCCTATAACCATTGTTTTGGTGCTAGATACATATTGGAAGCTTGAGAGTAGTGGTAGAGTGGAGCAAGCACCTCCAAAGAATAAGGTCAAGAGGATTTGATTACAGAGTGAGCTTAAAATATATTGTAGTAGCTTAGAGGCTAAGATGACACACTCTAACTCTTCCCTACTACTTGTATGTCATATACATGGATTTGCTTGCTTGTATGGGGTGGTTAAACATGTCATGGGTTTAAGAGTTTGAAGATTATTATGGATATTTTTTATGTTAGATTAATGTAAAAATGATATATAATAACCCATAACAGTTTCTATAA